TATATAGCCATCATGATTTAGTTGTGCTCAAACGTAGAGAAGCAGCGATTTCGACGAGAATCAACGGTCTGACTGACGTTTTAGTATTATCTGATACGACCACGGGGAAACTAATGTAACACATTAACCGTATTCACCGTGTTCAACGATACTATTCATTCAACGACAAACTACAGTATAATGGATGTCTGATACGAGGAAATCTTTGGTAGAACTGAGAACAACGAAAACATGTAAAGCTAGAAAAATAAAGTTCTTTTGATAAGTCTACGTCTTAAAATGTGTTCTAACCTCTCTGTTGTCTCCATATTTTCGTTATAGTCGCGGTTTTCTTCGCCTGTAACCTGTTTTTGTCTTTGTTTTACAGCGGTCAGTTGACGCTGTAACAGCGCCTCTGTCATCATCTATAGGATCGATCATATCCGACTGATCATTTTCTATACAGACTATAGCTCTAATGACTGGAGTCAATCATAAGCAGAACAAAAAACACCCGATCTATCGCAAGATTATTTGGGAATATTACAGGTTCTTAACATGGATCATTTGCAGCGTACTACCATAATATATTAGTCATCAGTAATACCGACATAAACAACAACAACAGCTACGAATCAATGATTTGACAGAAAAGGCAGGGAGCGAAGGAAAGCTTATCACTTGGTCTGACGTCTGCTTTACTCTATTACGGATATATGATGTACTCCATCATTGAAGTTACGGCGTTAGTAATGTTGGAGTTATGGACTGACTGAATATCAGTTATAAGCGAAAAAATGAGAATTAGACTGGAAAAAGTGCTGTTTTCAGAACGATGAATCAGTAATTTTTTTCCTCCAGAAGTGTTTTGTCTCCAGGACCAAATTGCGACCGGTCCAAAGTGGGACGGTGGAAGCAAACGAGTTAGAACGGATAGAAATGTCGTACGGGTAGCATGTCGATCATAGCTTTTTTGTTGCTAGGTCCAGGGCCTACTTTTTCTCAGAGATGTTTCCGCACGGGGGTCAGTGTATTCTGACGTCCAGGATTGCCGAATTAGTCCAGTCTTCAAGTTTGGTTTCTGACTAACTATTAGTTTAATAACAATATTATACTCTCGCTATGGTTTTGTATTTTATAATGGTAGGCAATATTTTTCCTTTTTTTTTTTTTTTTTGCTTTATAATACTAATAACTGTTGTTACTGTTTTCTTTACATCGAGTTGATGTCTTGCGTTCCGCCTCGCGTTTTTTTGTCATTCTCTCAATAAACATTTCGTATTTGTTAATTTTATTATTGTACTTCACTTGTGTTCCCTGTGCGAAAAAATTGTCATAATCCTTCGTATACATAAGTGACATTAAATGATCTTAGCGCGCCTATATTTTCCGATAGCATGAACGGTATAGACAGTTTTATCTGTAGGTGCTTTATATATAGCATTATTACTGCCAGCAGAAACGTCATATTTTCTGGCTCGGTGACTATGAAGCGCCAATATGTCTGTGCTTCGTGACACAGTTTGTCACGTCATATTATTTTTTCGTGGCGTGCGTGTTGTCGCGCAGTAGCACCTCAAAATGGCCTTCGAGTTGCGCTGCCTCGGCTTCAGCAATATATACCGCTAACTTCGCGAGACAAATGTCGCGTGCAATTGATTATTTAGGGTGATATCAGTGTTGATGTTTTGCTTAAGCATTTTTCATGGATAGACACGATTTTCCTTACAATATTTCTACTCTGTTTAACACAATCAACATTATAATCCTCAGCAGTGGTAGTAGTATGCTTTTTATATCTAATATCAAGTGCTTGATTCGAATTTGTTTCTCATTATATATATATATATATATATAATACGCTGTTGTACGAATAAATACAAATAGTAATAACATTTAAAAGCAATTTTTATCGGTAGAGGAAGATATAATAACGTATTGATACTATTTTAGTAAATCTGCTTTATTTGTGTAGGCTTTGATTTGCTATAAGGTTGTTGCTATCGTTGTACGTATATAGTTATTGTCTATTCGGTTTATTGATGAGGTAAAGCACTTTCATCTTATTGGTTCCATGGGCCTTTCCCAGACGCAAACTTAGCGCGCGTTAGGTGACATTTTAGGCGATTAATATTCAGGCCTTCGTTCACTAACCGTAAAAGTTTTATCCGCATACAGTATTTCTTTGTTAGATGCTTCAGAACGAGACCCCGATACGCACTTAACTGTTTTTTTTTTGCAACTCATTATGCCGTTATTGTTATTCCCGCTTTGTTATCAAGCATCTGTGTGCATACGTGTACTCTACGCTTTTGTCGTTTAGAATTAACGTCATTTGTTGCCATCACGTCAATTTATGCTGAAAATTGCTCTAAGCAACGGCCTGTTTGCAAAAACAACGGTCAGTTTTGTAGATTCTGCACGAATCTCTTTAGCCGTTTATTATGTCAAGTGGAAAGAATGTTGGGTCACCCAAGCGGTCCATCAATCTGGAGCGTTTTTTTTTAATTTTTGCGCTAGCTCTCTGCTGTGCTCTTTCTGTCTCACCGCAGGTTGTATGGGACGGCAGTGCAGACCGAGGGACCTGCTGTGATGATCGGCCCCTGACCATATGTGAGCTAGGGGTCTGGTTCGATTCGGCCTCAACGAAGAACGAAAGACTCCGATTGATCTTTTGCCCGAATAATTCAGTCATATTTGAACACAGTCACACAGCTGACAATACCCAGAATGGAAAATTTGGTAGGAGCAGCATACATCGAAGTTTTTCCTAACCGAGCGGAACTGTCGACATCCTATCTCCGACAACACTACTGGGTCCAGGACACCGTCAGGCAAATTGAAGGACATTCTCTGTCAACTCTATTGTGGGCCGGAGTACAGCCAGTGTTCACTGAATGTTATACACATAATTACTTTATAAGGCTTATTCTTAAATAAACCGCATAAAGATAAAATTCTAAACTATTTTTCTGGCAGATGCGGCGTATCGCGAACGTATGCGGAATGATAGTCGGCATCTTTTTGCTGCCATCAAGAAACTACTAATAACAGTGGGCCTAGTCATATTGGCCTTCTAGTATCTGCAGTTCGAGGCAAGCTGAACTAAACTTACGCGGAAAATCAAAAATTTTTCTCGTGGGTAAAGCCTTATCTATGCAAGCGCTCATCAGCTGCTAATTAACAGACACATTTTACGGGGAGAGAAAGGGAATATTGTCATTTCTGTTATCGTGGTACTATGTTACGACTCTCTCTGTATGGCTTCCGTGTTCATATATTCTCTCTCTCTCTCTCTCTCCTCTCTCTCTCTATTTCAATGTATATAAATGGCATACGTAACAATTTCGCTATACTTTCTTGGCATCTGTGTTCTATTGCCGCTCGTCGATTTACCCTTATCAGCCACGTCTCGACTCGTAACTATTACTATCCTCACGCGTAACAGAAATGTCGAGTTGGCTGACGTGGAATGGGTTTTCCGTCTGCTGCTTTTAATGGTTTGTTTTTAAGCGCTTGCTTGTGACCAATGTGGGATTCTCTCAAGCAATGGAAACTGCTGTTGATGTTAATGGTTACCCTAGTATTCTTGTAAAAGGCACTAATAGATATTATTCAATTATTTATATATATATATATATATATATATATATAATTAATATGAGTTATTACGTTGTTGATTGGCCTAATTTTCAGATTACGCTGTTGTGTGGTAGTTGTGAATGGTTCGTTTTTGGAGATTTGTAGCAGTGTCCTCGTTCTAGATTGCACAAATCTACAGGAAAAACAGGGTCACATTAAGACGCGTTGACGTTTCGTCGTTGTTAGAATGTTCGCATACTCTAACCCGCTGAATCGAGCGAACTTTGCCACGAGAAAAGCCCAATGTCGGCGTAGTACCACGGCCTCATCGTTACGTTTGCCCATTTATGAAGCAAAGTTGTCATTCTAATAATAGCAGATTTATTAATATTACTCTCATTACAAGATTAATAATACTCATAAATAATAGTAATAGGAATAAAAATATATTCAGTCTTAATGTAGTGGCCTACATTGAAAGGCAGTTTCAATCGAATCTTGTATACCGCAAGCCAATAATGTTGTCATTATTAGTCAGGGTGCACAGAATGGACCCCTGTACGTATCGCGTTCGAAGAACGCGCTCTCTTTAAACGGTCACCATCCTGCAACCAAACGTACCTATCTATGATAAATCCGCCAGATAGATATTTGCCTCTTTTCGAAATTCGCGCCTACACACGCGCGCTGCGCCATGCATGCGACGCATAGTTCTATTCGAATTATCCTTCTACAATAGATATAGCCGTGTTTAGCGTTGTCCACAATTTCGTCAACTTCCCGCCATGTCCAGATGTTTTATAGAGAACATCTATATATATGTTCGTGAATTGTTACGCTTATAGCTGCAGTGTGCATTTCCGACGCATGCGTAGTATACAGCAGCACAGACTTCAATGGTAACGATATCCATTACCGTTGTGCTGATTTTCTAAATGATCGCGGTCGTAATCCATTCCTCAATGATTTTTTTTCATCTTAATAATAAGATAAAAGCTTCGTGTCACTTCGAACTGTAGTAAAATTGTTAATTTTAAAACAATGTTCTCTTTTGAAAGAAAAACAATAGTAAACCGGGCTGTGTTGTCATCGTAAAAGTAAGCTTGTGTTAGTAACTGTTTCTGATGTTTTTGTCGGTCGCGGATAACGGACAACTGACGGATGATTCTTCCCACTAATCCTTTGCAGAGACCACCATTTCTATCACTGGTAGAAGCGCGTGCAGCAATCCTCAGAAGGCCGGGCTGGTAGTAATAATGTAATGGTGATGTGAATTAGTCAGTTCTTCGAAGGATCCGTGGTCATCTTTTTTAATTTATATCATCATCATTAGAATTGCGAATGTATTTTATGTCACTTTATGTGCATGTTACTGGGTGTATACCATTCTTTAACAGGGCTGTCGACACATGTGATCAGCAATGCTTCATATTGGGATCGTTACTGCTCTTATATATATATATATATATATATATATATATATATATATTGTAAATGTAGGCAAGTATTTCCCATAGTTTCCGCCAATACGCCATTGTTGCGTGCTTTTAGTAGCTTGCGTCTTGTTGTTGTTTTGCTACATTATTTTTCTTTAAATCTCGCTCTCAAACTCTCTTGTAGGCGCTCGTTTTCGAACGTATTCTTTCTCTACTGGCTTACTGTTCTATGGTAATAATTCAATTTTTTCATTTTATTTTGGGGATATTTTCTTTTTGTCCGTCCTCTTCTGCTTTACCCACCCAGCACCGATGGACAACACGAACATTTTCTCCATAAACGTTTTCAAGGCGGCAAACCTCGATCGGTCCATGGTTTCATCAACTTCGCTAGTCCACTTGTTTCGGTACCGGGTTGTGGTGATGCAATCACACGCGTGTAACAATTTTCGGAGACCCAGCGATAGGGAATGGGACACGTAACTCTGGCTGTTTTGTTTTACATTGCATTCTATTTCCATTGCTGGAGTACGCACCGGGATAGCATAGATTGGTTACATGGGAGAGAAAGGGTTTTTAGCCACCAGTACCGTTTTGGACAACCAGTTACAATAATTCTGACCAAAAAGTTATACCATGTCATGCTCAGCGTTGTATCGGCGACACTACCGCTATTTCTTTTGCTGTGACTTCTAACGCCGGGTGCGATCCATCATTCAACTTACGCAGTCACTGCTAGTTCAGTGTGTCCTCAATTCATGATTCTCCTTATGTCTATCATTATCATCTCTATTTTCGTAGATAATTCTGTTTCTCAATAATTACCTCTATTATAATCTTCATCATTAGCATAATTATTGGTGTGTGTATATGTCGTCAATGGCGTTTACTCGAACTCTTCTCTATTCGTCGTTAATAACTTTCTCAGCTTATTCCTTCAACTTCCGGGGCAGTGTGTTAGTTCTTTAAGAGAGTTTCGCACAGTTACGTGCGCTTGAATGTGAGGAAACCTCCCTTTTTGCGTTGCTGCTCATCGGCACTTTGCCCGGCGGGCATCGTTTGCGACTTGCTGGAAGAGCTCCCACCAAATCCGCCAGACAACGAAATGGCTTTTCGGAGGTTACCAAGCCAGATGTTCATCTCGTCGTCGTCCTTTGCTTGGAACAGGAACTCTGCACCGTTCTGACACCTTGAAAAAGAGAAATTATGGAAAAGTGTTACAAAGTTATAGCTCATTGCGATAAAATAATCTAGAAGCTGTGACGAGCGAAACTCTTAACGCGCATTATAAGACGTAAAACATAGTACAGGATATTGAAATCGTATGTATATCTTGTGACGGAAATCTCTATGCCGTAAAACAAATTTTAAGTTTCTATGGAGGCTATATCATTATTGTGCCGACCACCCACTGTCGAAGATTTTCTTTTTATCTACGACGTGTAAACCATGTACGACCACGGATGCTCAGAAAGCAAACCTGCTAGAAATGTTACAAAATTTAATTAGTTTGTGTTTTCTTATCGAACTTATTTCATCAATTTCTTCCCAGTAAATAGTTATGTTAATCAGCAGCTTAGCTCGAATAAGTTCACGCAGAGGCACACTTACTTCAGACGGAATACGTGCTTCTTCTTTTTGTAGTCCGACGCAACTTCGACGGAGGCCTGTGTTAGAACGATCGGCTGCTCACCCTTGAAATAGTTGAACGGTTCAGCCTTCATGTGTTTGGCGTCCTTATAGCAACCTATTTGCTGGACAGCCGGGCTGGCCTTTAGGCCTAGGTAGACCTTTTCCCATGAACGGTTTGCAGCTTTCTTTGTTGTTGATTCCCATTCCTGTTTACGCATCAACGCGCCCTCTTGAAGGTACTCATCCTGACTTCCAGCAGTGCCCGCGGTCGCTCCGAGAGAGGCTGCCGCGACTCGCTGTTCCAGCTTCGCCTGCTCGGCGGCGCGAGCTTTCGCAGCATCCGTGGTATCCTAAAGAGGATAGTAACAATGTTATCTTTAACGACTGAAAACTAATATTAAAGGACTTCTTTCCCTAATTCTATCATACCTGAAGTTTCGTGCAAATACTGCGTCTATGATAATATTAGTATGCCGTTAGTTAGTTATATTATAAACAAATTATTCTAATATATGCACATTATATTAGTTCTACTCTATCACATAACAAGTAGTGAGCAATACCATCCTCTTTATACCATACGTTGGCGTTGTCTTCCGGGAAATCAAATAGCACAAAGTCATTACCTTCTCGGCACGGGCTTTTTCAGCGGCGGCTCGTTCTTCGGCCTCGCGTTGCTCTTCACGCAGTCGTCGGTCTCGATCTTCTTGTAGTCGCCTCTGCTCCTTCAACTCAAACTGCAAACGTCCGATAATGGACAAGATTTTTTCATTGATAACGTTAGTGTTTTGTTCACAATGCGTATCAAATCTGACAAACAATAAGCTGAATTATCTCTAAAGCTGCTCTGTGAAAGGGGCTATAGTTGATGCCCTCCATTGCTTGCCACTAATGCTCATAGCAAGACGAAGGAAATTTTTTGCGGGAAATTAATCCTTAGCGCATATCTGATTTGCCAGCACCTATAGAAACGCTTTCTAACAGTGGGTTTGGGTGAATATTTGAAAGAACTCGGCCAATGTTCAAGCGCCAAAGATGACGACAGCGTTAATAGTGATACTGCTTTCGCCAAACGATCGTGAGGTCAGAAATCTTATTCATACTACCGGTAAGCAGTTGTCTAAATAATTCATTAGTCACACAACACCGCACACGGAACTTCTAAATAGTTTCAGCAACGAACTGGGAGGAGGCCTGAAAGATGATTAGTAATATAACTTTTTTTTTTACTTGAACAACGAAGAGTTGTGGTGATATGAATAAATGATGCTCTTACTGCAACTGGAGTGTTAATAATATTATAACAATTTCTGTTACTATTCGCAAGTTGTCCTAAAGTTGTCCGCTCCAGCACCGCATCTCGGGGCAACTTTACTCGTCTCTGACCCCTTGAACGAGGCTTATCGGCACGACAACGAATAGTTATGAATAATTTTCAAGTAAGCATTCGATAGCCCGTCAGCAGATAGTACTGATCGTTGCGGTGCCCTTTAGTAGCATTAATAATGTTGTCATTCACGCAGGGTATTTACGTTTCCGACGTTGTAATAGCTCGACCGCTTCATATGCATATCAAGCTCACGGAATGCCACATAGTCGAAGAGCGACCCGGTGTAATGTAGAACCTCCGGCTTCATATCAAATCAATCAACCAAAGTAATTTCAGCCTCAGTATGATATACGTATATTATAGTTGGAAATGCATAAACTATGTCCAACTTATATTAAAAATGATCGCTTATTGCCATAGCTAGATAATAAGATAGCCTCAACTTGAGTCCTTAAAATCGACTTAAACCTGCAATACGACGATTTTATTTTCAAAAATCCAGCTTCATAATCGTTTTCGCTTGTCGGGACGGCAGTTTCGAATTATTACCTAGATACGAACACTCCTTGAACAGCTCTAGAAGAATCGTGTGTACAATGAACGCCCAGCTTTAATCGTTTATGAACCCCAGTCCAGTTTTACACTTTATATATAAAAATGCCACAGAGACGTACCGTTGTCAATCGTTCAAGGGCAGTGAAGCGCTCTTCTTGGGCAGCCGCGGATTTCTCGAACGATTCGTGTTTCTTTATGAGTTGGTCGACTTCATCGATTGTATGGCCCAACTCCCGGCTGAGCAGGTATGGTTCTTGTGCTATCAGCCACGCTTCCGCCACTGCGGCGTCTCGAGCAAACTGGTACACCTCAAGAACTGTCAGTGAATAACAAACCGGGTTTAACCTTCAAATTGAATGTTACTATTATGCAAGGCATATAAGACCTGATTCACTACCGAAATCCCTTCCGAAACTCAATATTTGTTTGTTTTCTTTTTTCTTGCTATGTTCGTTAAGTTATATTTTGTACTAAAGTCATTCATTATAATGAATTTCTTTTGGCCGACGTTGGCTTGGCGTGCCTAGTTACAATTTCCGGCCCTGGAAAGCCCCTTCTTATCGAAAAGGTCTCCGTAGGAATGCTTTTGCGAGTGTTCAGGTTCGAGGCTTGACTTATGCAGGACCGGGTAAGAATACCAGCCTCGCTGCCGCCTGAGCTGTCGCCTGAGCCTGAGACAATGTTTAAACTTGTGGGTCTATACCCTCTGTAGTGAATCAACCCGAATCTGCGCCGTGAGATATTACTACGAGGGTCATCGAGGAAGAAGTCCACGGTTTAAGTTGACCCTTCCCGTTCTCCCGCCGAAATCCGCAAAGGGCGGACCTACATTGTGGAGTGTCAGCCTTTGAGGTGAAGTACTATATGCAATGTTTCTTTCCATCGTTTGTCGGACATCCGGTTTTCTGTATCACTAACACATTGACTTTATGACCCCTAGACTTGACATTACTGGTCAAGGGAGACGTAAGGTGTGTTGTTACGGTCGCTGTCGCCACTACCTAACGACACTTACTGAGCTGCAAGTGCTCCCAGCGTTCTTCCCATCGATCCATCATTGCTGATCGTTGATTGGTCAGGGCCAACAGCTTCTCCTTAATCTGCAAAGCGAACGATGGTTCATTATCCATTGATGAACAGCTTTGATTAATTTTTTCCAATTATTTTATAATAATGTAACATTCAATATATAATGCTGTGGGTAGGAACCGGCTTGTATACCTCTCCCGAGGCATAGTGGTTCCTGGCGAGCAGCTCCTGCCCAAGTGTAACGCAAGCTTGCATGTTGTCTTCGCGCGCGTCGATCTCCGCCTTCAAACTCTGGTGGTTGTTCATCAGCAGCTCCACACCCGATACGTCCCTATTAGTCGGAATTTAACCAATAAAACATAAATAATAATAGTTTAATTCAAGACCTGCGGCTAAGGAGTCGAATTGTCCACCTTACTGACAGCACATCATACAAAGCATTACAGATTATTGGCTGGTTTGCGTTACTACCGTTTAATATTAATGGATCGTGTGATATTACTAAACAAAATGCTAATCACAAGTACCTTGGTTTCTCTGACGTGTTCATCTGTCTGACAATATCCTCCATCCAAAGCTGAAGGTCACGACACATGTGCAGGAACCTAAACAGGTCTCCGGTATCCGATAGTTTGCCTAGAACAAACGAACACGTCTCAGTTCTTCGCTGTTTTACGAAGACACCACATCATTAGCACCGTCGACAACGTTTAAAGGGCACCCTGACAGATCACACGACCTATAGTTCTCGGTTTATGAAGGCTTGCCTAAACTGTACACAAACAAAAACATTTCCCTTTCTTGTTTTCTTTCCGTAACTACCCTAGGCGCCTCTAGGGCTCAAAGGGCCCAAAAAACATCCCTTATAATTGACTTTCAGCTGTGTCCTCTGCAACACATCTCGGTACCTCCCGCTTTTAGAACTCTTTCAAAGACCCATTTGAGCGCGAGGCTCAATATCAAAAATTTATAGGGATTAAGCTGTCCAAGAAAGGATTAAACAAGTATTCCTGCTGAAGGATCAAAAATTCGAACCTGGACTAACTCTAAGGGGGTCTAAGCTCTCAGCCGTCGTTTCTTACCTCGTCTCGCTTCGCACATGCTAAGCAGCTTTTGCCACGCCTGTGCAACTTCGTGCTCTCTGGCAACAATCTCGCGCTCTCTCTCGCCCGCAAACGCCGCTTGGAGCCGCGCCCCCTCGGCCTGAATCTGTTGTACGTTGGAGCCAAGGGTTTGCAGGTCGTTCTCGAAGTTCAGATGCCTCCTCTGCAGCCGCTGCACCGAGATCGCGTCCCGGCCCAGCTCATCCGACAGGCACTGCTGCTTCTCTACGATACGGCTCAGCACATCACGGCAGTCGTGGAACCACTTGTGCAGCTCCCAGAAAGCCTTGAGAACCTGTGATCGGGTCTCCATGAGTTCTTGGAGGTCGGCCCATGCCTCATTGACCGAGTCTTTCCATTGCGCAATCGTTGCGCTGTCTGAGTGGCCCTGATTAATTTGCTGGTCGCATTGAACGTTAGCTTTATCCACTCTTTCGTTACCGCTGGCGAGGGTCTCATCCCGAAAGGCCTTGAAACGTTCCCTGAGGTTGGTCACGTGTTCGTAATCTTGACCCAGTTCCTGAGAGCCGGCAACAACCTCGCGTTCTGCGATCCATTGCATTAGGTCGTCGATGTCCCTACTCAAACCGAACAGCTTCAGGGCCTCGTTAAGTTTACCTCGTCGCTCTCCGGCCAGATCTTTAAGGCCAGCATATAACTTGTCTACCTTCGATTGTCTTACCGCAATCTGTTCAGACTGCGGGTGCTTTTCGGCAATCAACCGCGACGCCGTCTCTCCGAGCGCACGAACTGTCGCTGCGTAATCTTCAACTGCCTGTTCAAGGTTGGCCTGTTTCTTCATGAGATTGTGTGCACTGATCTCATCCTTGCCCTTATCTTCAACCATCATGTACAGCTCCTGTTCGCTCATCCAGACCTCAGCTTCGCACGCATCAAAATAGTATTGTTGAGCCTTCTCTGATTCGAGCAGCCTCTGCTTGCGTTTTTCGATAGCGTCCTGGAGTTCCCTCCATCGCTGCAAAAGTTCCTCAATAAGTCCTTCGAACTCCGCCGAGTCCTCGTGACCTTCACCAATGAGTTTTCGACCGTTTGAGACGATCGTATCGATTCGAGGCTGATGGTTATCGATTTCATTCTTTAAGCTCTGCTGCTTTTTCTTGAGCATCTGAACGGAGAAAAGCGAATTGCCCAGATCATCGCTGGTGGCCAGAGGCATCTTCTCAGCGATCCACAGCTTCTCATCTTCGATGTCACGCCGGAACTGGAATGCCTCTTTTTTGCGGAGAATCTGTTGCTTCCGCTCGATAAGTGGTTGCTTGAGCTTCGCGAATCTCTCCTCGACTTGGGCTTTCTTAGCTTTAATCTCGTCGGTCTTTTCGGGATCCATCTTTTGCAGGTAGTCGGCCTGGTTTTCTAATTCATCCACCTGTCTGGCCTTCTGCGCCATCTGGTCTTCAATAGCCTGCTGTCTCTGTAGGATCAGATTTACCGAGGTCAGATCCTGCCCGGTTTCGGCGGTAAGCACCTGGTTCTCGAGATCGGTGATCCAAGTGTCGATATCATCGCAAGTTTGTTCATAAAGGACTTGCCGATTAGCGTCGAATAGTTTAACGCCCTTGTCGCGGGTAGTTTCCTCGAGATTTTCAAACTGCGAGTTTAGTTCGGCAAGCTTCGGTTCGATTATAGGAGCTAATTCGGGTTTTTCAGCAAGCAAAGCTTTTGCAGCTTGTTCTACTTGATAGAGGCGATCCTTATTAGATTGGACCTCGGCTTCGAATGCTTGGTGGCGAGTCCATTTACTGTGCACAGTCTTCGCTGACCTATACGTTTCATCCTGAGCGAAAATATTCTTCTCTTGTACCCAGCTTCCAAACTCCTCGCAGTCTTGAAGGATCTGCTGCAGGCTAAGTTGATCCTTGATTCTGTCCATCTTCTGGGCTGCTTTCTGGCGGTTCTGATCGCGTCTCTTGATGAGCTCGTCGCACTTCTTCGCGATTTTATCTGCGCCATAGTGCCGCTCATTACAGAGAGAACGGCCGTACTGCACAACACCATTAATCTTCTCATCATTGGCGTCCATCGTGGTAAGCAGTGTCTCATGCCGCTTAAGCATGTTCTCTACCTGCTCGAGATTGGCTGGCGTTTCTTCTTTGGCCAGTGCATTGTCTTGCTGGTTGAGCAGGATGTCGGCTTGGCGAGCGTCTCGAAGGAAAATTTGCAAGTGTACGTTTTGCGTTAGTAGATGTTGACGGTTCTCCCACATCTGTTTGAGCTCGTTCCAGCCGTCCTGCAATGCCTTGAGACGTTCTCGCAGGAACATGTATTGCGGATCGTCAGTTTGACCCTGGGTGATGCGTTCACCGTACTCCATCATCTTGTGATAATCCTCGGTGTAGTTATCAATCTCATCGCGGATTGCCTGGTGCTGCGAGAGCAGTCTTTCGGCCTGTGTAACATCGGAGGGTATCTCTTCGGAGGCAATGTCTGTTTGCGTTTTTGTAAGCCATGCCTGGAAGTGGTCCAGGTCGCGGAGAAAGCGGTGTAGGTCGCCGGCCTCCTCCAGCTTGGCGTCACGCTCTTTGAGCTGAAGTGCAAACGAAAAGTCAGGCATATTAATGAACATGAAATTTATATGCAACGAAAATTACTCGGAAATTAGTAATACTGGATTTCCGATATGTATACAAACGTTGAGTATCAAGAGAACGCTCTTGTAGATGCAGCTAATCTACTTACCAGTTGGGTGAGCTGCTCCCAGGTATGTTGGATCTGGACAATTTTTTCTTGAATAGTTTGCGCCTCCTCGGACTGATCAGCCTTGATCCTGTCGGCTTCCTTGTCGAGCGAGTCCAGCTTTGCCTGTATGGCACCAAGATCGCGCTCCATGCCGCTGAGTCGCCTCTGTAGCGTCATAATACCAGTAAGATCGTCGCCCAGGTCCTCGGTAGCCTGGATGAGTTTGGTCTTCTCCTCTATCCAGGTAATGGTCTCGCGACACTCGATATAGAACGTCTGTGTGCCATGAGCCTGGTCAATCTCGTCGCGCTTCTTCTCGGCCATCTGGCGCAAGACTCCCCATTGATGGTTGAGCTGGTTCTGGCGCTGCTGAATTTCGTGTGAGTTCGGGTGCTCCACTTGTAGCAGCTGCTTAGCCAGCTGCTTGACAACAGCCACACGTGACGCATTGTTGTTCATCTCACCCTGGAAACCCTGGAAGCGGTGCTTCATTACCTCGAGGTCCTCCATGTCCTTTGTCATGCGCATGCTCTGGAGCATCTTCTCCTTCTCGACGATCCACTGCTCAACACCATCGGCTTCGTTGAAAAGCTTGTAGAGTGAGAGGGCGTCGAGCAGCCGCTGCTTCCGCAGCTGAGCGAGCTCGAGCAGTTCCTTGTAACGACGATCGATGCTACCGAGTCTCTCGAGCACCTCAGGCGACTCGCGGTACTGCTCGCCAAGCTGGCCAGCCTGTTGGTGTAGTTGGTCGATAACGGCAGTGTATTTTTTCAGGTCATCGTTGACGTCCTTGTGCTTCTTCAGAAGCGATTGCACATTAGCCTCATCCCGACCAACGTCTTCAGATGAAACGACACGCAACGTATCCAACATCCATGTGTCGACGTCGTCCGCGTCAGTGAAGAACTGGTGATAGGCCACTGCCTGGTTGAGTCGTTTGGCACGAAGTGCTTCAAGTTCCTTGAGCTTATCCCACGAGTCTTGAACCTGTTGGATTCGCTGTTCGATTTTGTCAGTTTGGCCTGGCGGCTGCTCAGCGATGAGTTCCTTGCCGGACTGGATGCAATTAACTAGCTGCTGTTCATGCATAGCGAGCTCGTTCTCCATCGCCTTGTTCTTACTAATCAGTAGGTGGACCATGTGGAGATCGTGACCAATCTCCATGGAAGAAAGAATCTGCTCTTTCTCCTTGATCCACGCTTCCTCCTCGGCCATGTCCCAGAAGAATTGGCAAAGACGCTTGCTTTGCTCGAGTTGTTGACGGCGCTGCAAGGCCAGCTGCATCAGCTCAGAATAGGCACTCTCCAGATGATTGATACGCTTCTGTACCTGGTCGGGCTCCGCGGGACGAAAATCGCCCTCCTGGTCACCAAGGAAACGTTGGCAATTGTTTACCACAGAGCGGACGCGTTCTCCTAGCACGTTGATGTCGGCCTCGACAAGCGAATGCTTCTGGAGGAGATCTTGTACACTCATAAGGTGCTTTCCTAGATCAGTAGTGGTTAGAGACTTTTTGAGGTCCTCCATCGCGTCCAAAATGTAGAGAATTTCCTGGAATGTCTGCTGCAGACCGATGCAGGCTTGAAGGCGTTGCCGGCGAGCGCGCAGTAATTCAAGTAGGAAGTTCCATAATCGCAGAACGTTGTTCTTACGTGCGTTGATACGATCAATATCATGATAGTTTTCGGCCTCAAGCTCTTGCGCAACCGCGACAACAGCCTGGACACGCTCCTCGTAAGCGAGAATATCGGTTTCGATGGCTTCATGTTTCTTAGCAGCAGCCTCGACCGAAGCGAGATCTCCACCAAAGTTATCCTGCGACACGAGTCTCTGATTCTCACTGAGCCATGTTTCTCGCATGCCGGCCTTACGGTCGAATCGGGCCGCAAGTTGTTCGAGCTTCTCCTGACGAATAAGCTCCTCTCGGAGCGCTAATTCGCGCTCGTGCTCTGCCTTCTCTAGCTGCTCCCAGGCTTTATTGATGTCAGAGATCATTTTGCCCTCCTTAGCCAGATAGGGCTTTTGATTATTGGCCCGCATCTTACTCTGTATCGTGAACAGGAGTACCTCAAGGTTGCTTTTCTCGATAAACTTGCTGGGCTTTTCAGCAGTGCGATACTGGCTGAACTGGGCCAGCTGCTGTTGGACGCCTTGGAGGGAGTTGGCAAAGTTTCGATCGCCGAGAATGGCGATCGTCTGTTCGATCCACCTACAACAAAATATGGGCAAATATCGTTCTGTTACTATTGTTTCAAGACGACGATATCTCGGTTTGTTTGTTTGGGACCAATTGTTATCAATATTAAATATATTTCTATTAATATAAAACGATCATACAAATTACTTAGTGGATATCCCCTGTAATAATGATTATAAGCACAGTTAATGTACACACCTGAGCAAATCGGAGGTAAGCCTTTCGTATTTGTCGATAAGGTCTTCATTTTCCATGGCATTACCAACTGCTTTACCGATACGACGTCCATGTACGGTATCCTGCTTCATCTTCGAGAAATAGTGGTAATAGGTTACCACGTAGGTTATAATAGACTTCTCATCAGGCTGCTCCACAAACACGTCTTCAGCATCAAGCAGCTTCGTCAGACCAAGCTTGTCTTCGGCTACATTAAACGCGTTATTCAAGTTGTAGATGGCATTTGATTTCGACAATTTGTCAAAATGAATAAGATCCGATCGATGTTTATGGATAAGAGCATTAAATGCTAGGCCATCTCGCCACGAGGTGGTGAAATTTCTGACGTTCACATTTGGATAGCCTGCGGTCTTCATCTGGCACCAAAGTAGAAGGGCATCCTTGGCTGACTTTGTCTCTTGGTTGTCGACCTGTTCGATAGTGATGTCTTGAATTTGGAACCGTAGAATGATGGTCCAGATAAGACCGAGAGTCAGGCGTGGATTGCCGTCGACCACGTCGTGTGCGCCCAAGTTCTCAAACTGCACCCGCTGATCTTTTAGAAATTGCAGTGCTTTTTCAACGTTCTCCAGACAATGAATCTTCATCTTACCTTTGGTGGGTCGTGGCAGACGCTCGCCTGACAAGATCTCGAGTAGCTTGATGAGCATCTTTCCGTCCCGCATATCAATCATGAGATCAGAGATGCGGCAGTTTGCTCGCACGAGATGCGAGTTGACCCATTTGCAGAACGTTTTCGTCTGTACAACCTCACGCTCTTCAGCGAGCGCTTTAATTCGCTGGCGTTCGAAGAGCCTCGAGGAGGAGTTGCCCCCGTCGTAATCGTAGTCCTCAACACCATCCTGCGGCTGATTAGACGCAGGGTCCCATCGTATCGAAATGTCTGTCGTCATTTTGCGGCTGAGCGCGCTCGAGGCCCCCGGTGTTCTGCCGACTCGGGATCTCCGTCGTCGCGCTGTTCCTAAACCCTTTACCTCAACTTCGATCGGGGCACTTCAAGCGGCTCGGTCCGTTCGGCATATGAAGAACAATCAGGTTGCAACAATAAACTCTTTTCGTACAGGCACGCAATTCATCCAAAATGTCTGCAATGCAACAAGATTCAGGGCAGATGCACAACAAGTTGATTCGTAGTTAAAGCAATAACCTTAATTAAATAGTTTGGTGTTGTTGAACAAGCCGAGGGTATACGGGGTTCATGATGTCATGGCTATGCTGTGCTTGAGAACTTAAATTTGCGTGGAATCGGTTCTGTTGTAAGCCTATATTCTATTTCGAAGTGCAATAATTTAGATAGAGTACTTCGATAAGAAAGATAACAATGAAGAGGGAGGTTGGTCATCTTCTCCAGTATCGAGTACTCATTACTATTTATTCAACATAGATGCCGATGTTCACTCCTATCACGCTTATTATGATTATTGCTACTCGAAGAAATAATCACCAATCAAATCAAGACAACCCACTTTAGGAAATCATTATTAGGCAACAATTTACAGCATATGTCAAGTAGCCTACAGCATCTAAGGAAGATGGCCGTCGATTTGGGGTATGTAGTTGTCACTGTATATAGACATCTTTGACTATCGTGCTTTGCTCTTCAGTGTCAGCAGCAGGCGGCATTGACTATCATTGTACGTACGCAGTGAAACGTCTGATCGATGCCAAGCTTCACGACAAATATCTACGAATGTGTAGAACTCAGTGTGGATGCGAAATTTCACCTATCGAAAAAAGTGTCTGCACGATTAGCTTGCACACGCTACTGAATTTCAAGCAGTTCGGGTTTTTACTACATTGCCATACGACAACACTTAGTCTAAACATACATTTTCTCTTTCTCTCTTGCCTTATTATTATCTTTAGACGTATTGCGAGGCCTTGGTGTTTTCACGTTATTGCTAATCTTTGTTTCCGCAGGCTAACAACAGACAAGAATGAGCTAAACAATGGCTTCAAGGACGGGCATTAATAATGGATCTGTCTATGAGCGGTGGAAGCAAATACGTAGAATTCACCGAAACGGTTACAGATCGTCGAGTACCTTCCAGCTTGATGGGATCGAGGAAAACCAGTACTGAAGGGTACCAGTCTAGTCCCAGCTCGAAACGACCGGCAGAACCATTGGTGCCGCTTAGCCTCTGTTATACAACAACCGCGTATCGGATAGTTTGCCATATTTGAGTTCATATTATTATTGGCATTAATAATAACCATCCATACATGACTAAACGTAGCTGCCAGCCATCAACGATGTCATAATTGTACCTTTTCATAACAGGTATCTTAAATGCAAGTTTATGAGAGTAACACATCAACTAACCAGCTAGACAAATGCGTATAAATCTAGCATTAGCTCTAACAGGAGCGTTGAATTGCTTTAAGACTCTGCCAATAAGGATGTGTAACGTACAGATGAAAGGCAATTGTATCGAAAGACAGGACACATTTTCACTAAAATAATCCGGTCAAACATTAAAAAAAAAGTGAAACCCTTAAACCTTTTTTGCTTTTACGGCCTCACTTTGATGTCCTAATATAATAATATATGAACCAACTACCTTCAGACGAAGCATACTCAATCGGCTTGCGGGCATCGTCATTATTGGGGGTTGCGGTGGGGTGGTTCAAAGTGAACAGAACTCATGTCCTCCGGCATTGCCTTCCCGAGCTGCTAGAGGTCCTTGGCCGGAGTCGCGTGCTCCCCACATAGCCACACCCAACAGTGTAACCGTTGAATGCACCGGAGCCGCGAATAGGATCGAAGAAATATTCCTGCAGCCATCTTGTTCGGCGAACCGTCATAGCTCGTAGGTTTTCAGGGGGTCAAACGTCCCGCGGTAATGCCCCCGGATGGCGCCCCTTCTGACCGCCTATGACATCACGAGCAGATCACAAGGCCAGACCACGTTTTTATATCTTTGAAGCGCTCTTTTCAGACCACAGGGTTCATATAGGGTCCTCAGTTGACAGCCAAAATATCCATCACGGATGATGTCATTGGTACTAGCATATGGGTGAAAGGTTATGGTCTGGTGTATATATGGCCCCTTTAATTCGTGTCCAAGCTCTGCACCCTTTTTTCTCCCAGTGTAGGCAAGGCAACAAGTCCCTTCCGGTGAATTGACAACCCAGCCTAACCATGTATGCTGTAGCTGTAGTACATCAATGCGAGAAGAATAGGTGGACCGCATAAATAATCATTCCTGTTTTTTTCCATTCGCTTCATATCCTGGCTAGCACCACCAGGCCCAAGAAACGAACTAAAGTGATTTCATGCCTAAGCTCACAAGCTAGTAAACACTATTAGAACTAACCTGCCACAAGTATGCCCGTTACTCGAGACCGAGACCCGAGGGCTCTCATGATGCCCTACTTCACAGTTTAAACTAGTCAACGCACAAGCTGTCGGCAGACAGATTGCTTTGCCCAAAAAAATATGACGGTTCTTTCGCTAGCATAGCTGCTGAGAGGAACAAGGGCCAGGCGTGGAAACAATATTTAGAGATTAGCGTGACTCTGCTCTACAAAGCTCTAATTTTAGTTTATGGCGACGATGATTTTGATGAGCTGATATAGTTGGCGCCAAGCATGCCGCAGCCATTCAGTGGCACTAACGGTAGACATGATGATACCAGTGATAGCAGCGTTTTCAAGACACCGCTTGAAATTTCCCTTTCTTCTACATGAGAAAGAGAAAAAGTGAAAATATAACGATTCTTCCCCTTCTTTTGTATACTCACGAGTTAGGTCCACTTGAGACTTGCGAGTAGGCGAAGTTTTTCGAAATTTCCCGTAACGCAAGAGGAGCGAAGAGATTTTTCGCATTACGTTGGACTTAGCCGTCACTACGAGACAATTGTTCCCGGCATGGGGCACGCTTTAACCGGAGATAGAAATAAAATGATCTGGTTATAATCGACATACAATAATCTGAATCTTTTTAAATCAATCAGCATATGTGCTGCTGATTTGTTGTCATTCATTGATTTCAATCTAGGGTTATACTCAATCCTACCATGCTCTTTTGTTGTACTATTTAGCCCATACGATTAACTACTCTGCGGCACTGTGCCACCAAACCAGTGCGTTGTAAAGTTAAACATTGTTAAAGTCTTGCCGATTCCTGCCCTAAAGCAAAATTGAACTCTCACTTCTAATTTTAAATTCAGCTTTACAGCTGAACTGCATTACTTAAAGTAGTGAAGTTCAAATAATCTCGTTAGTTACACCTAAACTGCTACCAGCAGCGATTCCTCTTTGTAAACATCCTAATATAATTACTGGCCTGTGTAGGCGTTAGTATGCAGACAGGACGCACGACGCGCAATACGCCCTACTCGTGTAGCTCTTTTTCAAACCTGTGAGACAAAATACAGTTCTTGCCGGCACACGCCGGAGATTCACCACTTAATAAGAGGCACCCATGTGGACATAGTACCTAGGGTCCATACTGAACGCCCACTACCGTCTTGCACGTTTGGCCCGCTCGCTATCTTACTGGTTGGGTAACCTTGACGACGCGAAGATCAGAAGATGTATTCTCACGTTCATATATCCTTACCAGGTTACGCATTTTTAGCAACCGTCTCACTTGCTACTAAATACTTCAATGGCCTTGGTAAACTCTCGTATAAAGCTACCGCTGTACATAGCTATCCACCTACTCTTCCTTGCAGCGAATACAGCCTAAAGTGCGTTAGTGGAGCTAGTGCGTCAGCGCCGGGCGCGGATGCTGCCTTTGGCCAACTTTATCCGCACTTCTTATCCTTGTCGGTGTTGTTATTGTTATTATTTTATACTGCAATCCGACAAATCCGAATTATCTAGCTGTGCGAAATCGATCAACTCTAATGACATCGTGACAAATAGTGCTATACGTAAAGAATGAGTCTCATAACCAAGCCAAAAATGGGTTACATGGCTGGCTAATTAATGGTGGGTTAATCAACACGCGCAGACAACCCATTATTTATTTACGACAATAGCTTTAGTTCAGGAATGGAACTGCATACAACGGAAGCCCAATATTTTACCATACGGTTAGCAACCATTGTACCTATGTGCAGATGGCCTAGATCTGTCCGCAGATGGTAATGCGTACCAAAGACGGAAGAATGAAGTAGGTGCGTTCTTTTGCTACGTATGATATTCCACGAAACAACGCCGTTCTGTCGGTCTCGACTATGTCGATTGACAGCGATCTACGAAGGTAGTTTTAAGTGGATGCAACGAACGAATTACTGCATTTTGCTATGGTTCACGTAGAAGAAAGACGTCTGTAAGTCTGCGAGTCTCTCTATAGTTATGTCTATTATAGGCATATTTTACACGACTATGATGGTATGTTACCAAATAGAAGGACCAACATTAGATATAATGGCTGGATCAAAACCAAGAGGAAGCATCCTTATTTTAAACAAGTACATGGTATGGACGGTTCCACCGTTTGAACGCTTCGTCGCTAGCTTTTTCCCTATTCCCACGAGCTGTTAAGAATCTGCCCGTGAGAGTATGAAAGGGCCCCAAGCAGATTGAGCCGCTTCTTACTATTGTCCCATCTTTCAAGTCGAGAAAAAGTGTTGCTCTTGTCAATTGTTCTAGCAGCACCCAAAGGTTTCCTAGAAGAGAATTAACTACCAGCTAGCGCTGTTGGCGTGCCTCTACAAGTAATAGTCCTTGATGCCAGTGCTACAGTAGAAGCAATATGATATTAGCGAATGGCAAGCGTAGAAAGAACTCCATGCCTCGCCTTAATCGTACGCCTCCTCAGTATTACCTAAGAAAATATACTGGTGTGTCATTATATGTGAATCTCTAACCCTCTTTGCAGTGAATTTCTATACGCAAGTTGGACCAAGCCGCTACTGTGCGAGGTGCCCTCTCTTACTTCAGGCACTGGAGGTCCTACGGAATAAAATACGGAACTCAGTTCGTAGGATTGTTAAATCCTTGTAGTTAGACGTGGGCACAGGGAAACTGAGCAGATCTGCTGTAATCACAAACCCGTTCACAAAAGCCTCTACTATTAACCTACGATTTGATTTAGTTGTATCAAATGGTTACCTATAAGAATATTCGCATTTTCAACACCAAATAATCAGAGTAATTTAAATGAAAGCTGTTTTGCTGAGGCTCAGCGAGACAGTTTTTTTTATACAATGCAATGCCATGACTATCAGTACGACATCATATCAACAACCGGGATAGTTAGTCTTAGTAGGTATTGATTAGGTAGAATGACTAACACCACGCACATGCATACACACACAACAATTTTTACTGATCGACTATTTCAGGATGAAGCATATCAACTATATACTGAAGTCGGCATACTTCAAATTATAAAAACTCAGAAAAGCTAATATTTCACTGGATTAACCTGTTTCGACAAACGTTACGAAGCGAGACTGAGTTCAGCGAAGCAACATCCGTCTCAGCTAATTAGACGTAAAAAGCCCTCGACGCATGCCGGCTTCCGAAAAGCGCAAGGCGCTAAGCTTAACGTTACTTACTTCAGTGACGTCACTACCATAACTTCCTATGACAGACTCTATTGGCTGAATGAGATGTTATCGAAGCTAAATAAAATGATAGAAAAGCCTGAGTGATGTTACTCTCAGAAGCTCAGCTTAAAAACAGAATAGACATAAAACAACGCCAACTGAAAGACGTTTATATAGAAATAAACCGCGACACTAGTTCCGTCCCCTCGTAGTTCACCACCGACCAAACCCTCCGGTAGCTACAACGCTATAGAAAGCTCTAGCTATCCGAACTTTTGTCCGTGGTGTCACCATTCAGCGCTCGCAGAACGACTGCCTTCTTTCTCATTCATGTAAAACGAATCTCGCTTGTTCGTTCTCTCGATTAAGAGACCCCGCCCAACATCGCCCGCTTTACCGCGATCTTCTAATGAAGCCATAGGTATAAACAGGAAGACAGAAACAAAAAACGTCATCGAATCGACTGTAGCTTTCTGCTGTTGCTGTACAGTCTGGAGATCTCCTCGGGTAACCAAATGGAGATAAGGTTGGGCAGGGCTTTACTCAATCAGCTTGGCGACTATGGCGGCCCTGGGAAGCATCGTAGTCATTGTCACTATAATAATTTCACTTATCCGCTGAACGTGGGATGCAGCGACAACGTTTGGTCGTCTTTTCGTGGTCGATTGTCTAGCTAACGCGCGCGTGTCTAGGCCATTTACTTAATATTAAACGGCCATTAACCAGTAATTTTCGTTTTATTCCGTGGTACTTGCTGAATTCTTGCCTTTTGATGATATTCATGATAAACACGTTGGGGCAGGCTGTTGTACACACTATGAAAAAGGCAAATCAACTAAAGATAATAGTACCGATAATAATTATCAATGAAATACTGAAACATATGTTCGACTACTATTCGATCCCTGGACGATACACATCTTGGTAACTAGCTATCATAGAATACATAAGGCGTTAGACAATACGTATTGCTCGAAACAATCATAAAAAAAGATTCATGAAACAACGATAATCATTTTTTGACAGTTAAATATTTTTTATTTATGTCCAAAACGATCCAGATAAAAACAAGACCATCGCGATCGCGAGGGACTTCTATTACATCGGTACCCCGTTATCACGTTGACTTTTCAGAAGGAGAAAGGAAGTGAAGTATTGTGTCTGAGGAAAAAGTCTATTCCAGTCCTGTGCTGTTGAGACAGTGGAGTAACGTGAGTTCATAACCGAAGGCCGAAGGTGGGCTCTGTCGCCTGGTCGAAGCAAGTGGTCAATAGGCATCGCCCTAAACCAGGTGTACTCCAAAATCCGCTTGATACAGCATTGCATGCTAGGGAAGAGGAAAGGCAAGAGTCATTTAGAACATGGCAAGCTATGGCAGTATTAAAACGCAACAAAATCGTCGGTTGAAAATTCTGGTAAAAGACCGGTGGAGTTCGAGTAGCGGCTTTAAGACGCATTTTCTTGACATTATGTGCTGGTGGAACGTAAAACGGTCCTATAAATGCTAAAAATATGAGCTTAAGTAAATGATTCTGCTAATTAGGTTGCTGAGGGAATACTGAATGTTGCTACATCAGCATTTGGTGACGTAATTGACTCAAGATATTTTTATCGTTTGACTCCTAGGGACGATTCCCGCCCTTAGCGAAAACAATAAGGTCAACTTAGCATTCGTTGATGCGGTATCGACTAAAGGGGAAAGCGTCACGTTTTATACAATTAGTTATAGTTGCACAACCGTTTGGGCCTCGAAAAAGGACTTGTGAACCTGTGTCACATAACTCAGCAATCCCAATCCATTCCAAACGCTGAGCCAATAGTATAACACATAGATTTAGCCAGATAACCCTTAAAATAGAAAAATGTACAAAGAACTTTCCATGCGTTTGCAAGGCATACAAATGGGCTATGCCAATAGCGTGAACAGAAGTTGCTGTGCTTGAGGGTAGAACATTAGATTTGAAATAGCCGAAAATTAGTGTCTATAAACGCTTAATGTATATAAATCGTTTTTTTGGAAAATAATACCGTTTATAGCTAAACGAATCACTATTGTATCATTACCAAGTAGATTCAGATACGATCAAACATATCATACAAGGCTCATCGGGGTCTGTTTTTTACAGAATGAATGAATAAAACGAGATAACATGTTTTGAGATTCCATTTGGCATTAATGCCGTCTCGAATGTCTGCTTCAAATGTAACGCTTATTCCGCCATATGAACTATCTCCAATACCTTAAATAACATTTAGAAAAATGTACACTTAACAATGGTGTTTCCTTTCCGACAAGCTTTAAATTAATTTGTTTCAACTTTGTATATCATCGACACTGTTACTAACCCTGGTTATTTTTACTGCCAGCCGGTTAGGTAAAGCTAACGTAACTTATCGAAGCTTGGATACGATGTACCCGGATAGAGAAATTCCATGATGCTGCATAGTCAAATATAATGCACGTAGATATACGATCCAATTCGCTCTAATTATAACAAAAAATAATGGTTTTTCTTGTTAAATACGTCGCAGGAAGTCTCAGTGCGGGTATCAGAATTACGTGATCATATGTAACTATCTCTATGGTGATCTCCCTAATTTTAAACTGCGGTAAAAATAGATAATGAGCCGTTTTACGGACCGATCGTCAGATACAAAAACTATCGCATTATAGCCATGAGAGTGGCCGTATTCACATTATATATGGACCTCTTGTGTAATACCTTTTGCGTCAATCGCAACACCTTGAAATAATCATTGACTGTATGGGATACAGATAATATGTCGAACTGCAATATCTAAAAAATTAAGGCAAACATTGGCTTTAGGGCAAAAGGGAAGGTTTTTTTTTGCCTCATGAAATCTTGTAAAACGCACATCAGTTTTTTCAATAAGCCTTTTCGAAAACGAAGAATACTGATGATTTGGCTATCATTTCTAGCTTATCGTCGCCAGCATCATTATCGTCATCATTATCACGATTATCAGTGAGAGGTGAGCCATTACTATCCTCTTTTCCCTTTCTACACTACACAATAACGTTGTCGAAGGCAAGCAGACATGGCCTATTACTAAGTTACTATCTCGATTTTCTAGCTAACAGGCCAAGCAGGCTCGTTTTGTGCCCAGTAGAGAAAGTCGTATGCTAGTGGCGATATAATGACTATTATGAGTGTGTTTACCATTCTACGCAGCGCCAACTCGCAGTTGTAGAAAAACAGAGAGAGAAGAACTAGCGGGCGCCGCGATAGCAAGGCTGGCCAACCGTAAACTACAAACGACTGACAAGCGAGGTATCCGAATCGATTTTAATAGCTGGTTTCGCTTAGTGGCTGTTTAGCCAAGAGACTTTGATGATGAAGAGCATACCCTGTGTCGTCGGCGAGCTGCTTAGTCGAGAGCGAAGGTCGTTTGTGCCGAGCTCTCATCGCTTACGTCTACGCAAGCAGTAGGCTTCAGCGTAGGCAAGAGTAGATGTCAGCGTATTTTATGGCGGCTACTCAACCACGACCGCCATGGCCACACATTTGTTGACTTCATGGAGTGGTTTCTGGAAGATTGTCCTTGATCGGCTGAAGATACCAGTCGATAGGAGCCGTATTCTACGAACGTAAAACCATCACGTTAAGACCATAACCACCATGACGATATACTGTATCACTGATCAGTTTGTCGTGCTTAAATACTCGCGTCAGGCATCTCAACCTTGTGTTATTTTTTTGTTTACGACGACGCTGTCACTGCAACTAACGCAATGGCGCTCCGATGAAGCTGAATAGCTACAGCCATTGAGCAGGAAAGAAAGGCTCAATCCGCACGAATGCCAATGTATCTACGTACACGCTGTTAGTATGTTCTCCTGCTAATACGTACCATAAAATGGCGCAGCAGGGAGGTCTCTTCGGGGACCATCATCTGTAGAAGATTAGCAAAAGGCAATACTCCGTCCTTGAGAACACTCCTACAAGGTCTCCCAGCCACGATCGGTATGTCGCGCAGTATTACATATAAACGGCGGTAGCATAAGGGCTAACGCATCATTAAGGTATAACAAAGCTAGGGAACGTTCCACGGACAGTGCCGACGGATGGATTAGAGCAGGCCGCAGTTGTCGTTATCGTTTACCGATATTATGGCCAGAGGCATACCTGGACACGTGTCATCATATAGAAATTCAAGTCAGCTACATAGCATATGAATAATAATCACTTGTTTAGACATGAATAGAATCCATGACATGTTCTTACACCTGATTACTAGGAGAACTTTCATATTTACGAAAGCTCAATGCTACTAGCTGACAAATACCATGCAGTTGACAGCATTTCTGGTATCCAGTACTATTTGTGACAAAAAATGCGCTAATATTTCCAATTAGTGCCAGGTTTCAGCCATTCCAACGGATCATATATAATACTCATCTAGCAACAGCCGCGTTCATGCTGCTCCTCATGGATTTCGATCAGTATTTTAATAATAACATTTTGCTTTAGTGAACGCTGCAGCAGCAGCAGCAGCAGCAGCAGCAGCAGGATACCCTCCTAGAGATTCTATAGATACAGCGAAAACCGAATTCGTGCACGGGTGATCATGATTCGACCAAGCTGGTATGCAAAACTATATAATGACGGCCATGTACGTACAGATTTGTTTCTGATGTCAGTACGCGTCTAATGCAAGCCGATCGATT